AATTTAAACAGTAAAAGATAATATTTGTTCTTTTGCATAATGCAGTAACTGTGGCCTGCTGAGTAATCTCATCGAATATCTCTTTTCTGCAGAAAATAGGACCAGGTGCTTTGATTTTTAAACTCTCAGGATTTGCCATTTCCTTGGCGATGGAGAATCTGCACAAACGGTGCTACGTGTTAAAGTTCAAATCTGTGGATTGATTACGTTTTGGACTGATAAAAGTAGAGCAGCTGTAAAATTCAGCCCCGAACAGGTAAAAGTACTGATAAAGATCATGTTTGCTGTGTCTCATCCCACAGTTAGCAGAGGTTATCTTACCCTTGTCGTTTTGATCTTGTTCCCGGCGTAGCACATCCAGCCTGAGTTGTCAGGAAGTGTTTTGCACTCCTCCCCCTCCAGACAAGGCTCCATCTCACACCACCACTTCCCAATTACTATAGATGCTACAGGAAACAAATAAACAAACAAACAAAAAAACAAAACAAAAAAAAAAAACAGGAGAAACACCAGAGCAGGTATGTTTAACCTTAAACAAAATAAAAGGCAAATCAAACACATTAGAGGCATATTAGCGGTAGGTTTAAATGAGTCTCTTAAATGTATTCAAGTACTTTYGTCAATAAATGTAATTAGTTTAAATACCTAAGCACATTTTTTGTCATCTTTTATTTCCCCTGGCACAAAGAAAATGTCCTATGAAATATGTGAAATTGTGCCTTTTAGCACATTAAACACACATATACTGTATACAACATTTGCCTAACCTTGTTAAACGTTTTATTTATTAGTTGATCTCTCATTAATGTAGCATATAATAGTTCACATTTCTCATTTATAGCAACCCCCCCCCAAAAAAAAAAATAAAAATAAAACAATGAATACAATCATATGCGATTCCAACTATATGCATACCCTTTCTTTTCTGTATGCCATTAGGCATAAATGTGCAGGGTGAAACGTTGGCTTTTCATTGAGTGAGGAGGTTGGTAGGTGGGACTCAGACTTGACTTTAATGCACACCACACACTTTCCATCACAAGAGAAAATTGCTTTAAATACAGGGTAAGTAGACAGTAAATGGTTTGTAATGTGAGACAGAGGGAAAGAATCTGTCAGAGCTGACACGGAGAGACCTCAAATTCCCCCGGTCCGCTCAGAGATTGCAGTAATATTTGCACAAGGATTTATGATAAAAGCTGCAGGTGAGAGGTTTCCTGGGAGCCAATGTGTGTTTTTTTCTTWTTTTTTAGTTGTGTCTCACCCGAGCACCAAATCCATTTCTTGCAAAAGATCGAAGCTCGATTGCAGATATTTGTCAAAAATATACATGCAAGCATCATGAAAACACATAAGTAAATCCCATTTATTTTGCTTCTATCTTTTTATGTTTTTTTTTTTGTTATTGTTTTTTATTTACTCTTCCCTCGGGTGTGTTCAAATCTGTAGTTGTGTTTGTCTTGTTTTGGAGTAGAGTTTACCCTCACAGACATATTCTCTTGTCAACAGAATGCGAATGTGACATTATCCTCGGTTGTTATCTTATTTGGGCAAAGGCGATGCATGGTTGACTCCATTTTTGGGAGAGATTGAACAAATCTGTATCTCTGGATAACGTAGCTAGATTTTATTTTTTGGTATGTTTGATGAAATTAAATAAGTGACAAACTGGGGAAATTGTCTTTTTATAATGTAAGTGCTGCAGAGGTCTGTGTGTGTGTGTGTGTGTGTGGGGGGGGGGGGTGCAAGCTTGAGAAACACTGCATGCACATGAACTAACATGCATGTTTATAGACTGTAGGAGAAAATGAGATGAACCAGAGAAACCCTACACAAGGAGAACTTGTCAATTCCACATAAAGGCTGCAGCAGAGTGTTGGACCCATGCTATTCTTGTTGTGAGGCAACTAACAGCTACCCCACCTAGCAGCTATGAAATTTAACACAGTTGTATATATAGTTGCATTTTTACAGTTCACACCAGAGGTTCCCAAACATTTCCATGCCATGGCCCCTCAAATGGCAATAGCTTCTGGCCAGGGCCCCACCTCTTGTTAACCCACAAATGATGATACAGAATATGTAAAGAAACAACAGTTTTATTTTTTTCTTACCTTTATTCACTATTCAAYCATTACATTTGTTTAGCATGGGCATTTTATAAACATGTTTTAAACACCATTATTCTCACAAAAAAAATCAACTTTTAAACAAATTGTTATTAAGAACAGAACAAAATAAATCAAACCTCTCTTAAGCTTGTTTAAATAACATTTCAATACGTTATTATAAATTATTTTTTAAAATAATGATTGAAAAACAGATTCAGTTCTATGATAATGATTTAAAACATTTATTAGATTAGTTTTTTTCTTATTTTCCCTCCTCACTGAAGCCTCTCTACACACACCCCACCCCCCCCATCGAGCATCGAGTCCACAGGTGTATTCTGGCAGGCCCAACAAAAATGTATTTTAAAACTTAATTTAATACAAAAATAAGTTTTAAATAAAATCTAAACTTTTTATTTATGATTCAGTGCAACACAACAAACAAATCTAAATGGTAAAGATAATAGATCTGTTTTCCCCCCASCACCCCTGTATGTCCTGTCCCTGAGATGTTGGCTTTGAGTAACTGTGTGGTGGAATAGCCATGGTTTAATGGTAAATGGACTGAACTTTTATAGCACTTTATCAAGCCCCAAGGGGATCCCAAGTCGCTTTACACTTCAATCATTCACACACTGATGATGCTAAGCTACGTTGTAGCTACAGCTGCCCTGGGRTGCACTGACAGAGGCGGGGCTGCCATGCACCAGTGCCACCAGACCCTCTGACCACCACCCCCAGGCAAGGCGGATGAAGTATCTTGCCCAAGGACACAATGACTTAGGCGGCTGGAATRGGGGATTGAGCCGGCAACCCTCTGGTTACAGGACGACTCCCCTAAGCACTCCACCACACACGTCCTGCCCCGTTCACTTGATGTAAAGATGTGAATCACAAAATCAATACAAATAAATATGACTGGATCTGTTGAGCACTGTTGAACCAATGCATTGGTACCAATGTACTGATTATTGGATTAAATTACATTTTTGTACCGCAAGCAGGTTAATTAGTTTAAAAAAGAGTTTAGTTTTTAAAGAAAATTGTGTCTTCTGTAGATTTTCTTTTTGAGTGGACAGCTCTAAAGCTTTAGAGAACTTATGCCAATGCATTTAATACACAATGTCCCATCTGGTTTCTGACACATGTCAACTGTTAAATAACTTACAGGTAACGTGTAAATGTGCATAACTTACTGGTCACATACAGTACCTGTAACATGTGTCTAACTTGTAAACTAACACATTTTCACTCCCAACTCGTCACATATTGACACTTTTCTAAGGTTCCCTCTGCGTCTTATTTTGATGTGTTGGGTAACCCCTTCACGTCAGCTATTGACGCACCAGGCATTTTTGTGTTCCCACTGCATCCAGTTTTGATGCATCGGGCCGCAAAATATATGGGTCTTTGACTTGGGGTCTGTGGTTAATATTAGGGATCAGGGTTGATGGTTAGTTTTAGGTACTAGGGTCAGGGACACAATGTCTAGGGCGAATAAAGGTAATTTTAGGCTTTGGGATGGTTAGTTTTTGTGCATTTTCTACATTTTCTGAAATTATGACTACGGATTCCATCCCATCTCGTCACTGACTGACTCAAGGGGTGTACCCGACACGTCAAAACCGGACGTAGAGGGAACCTTTAGAAAAGTGTCAATATGTGACGAGTTGTGAGTGAGAATGGGCTGTATGAGCATGTGYCATCGTATAACAGTGTGCTGGTAACATGTTTAAAGCTTACACCTAAATCCTGCAACTTACACTAGAGTGTTTGACACTTTCAGTGTGACTAGGCATTAGTGCTAGTTTTGCTGTTTTAAATTATTTTGTTTCATTAGTGACACTTACTGTTCAAGAGGAGAACTGAAGCAGACCTAATAAAAGCGGTGATCATGAAAATCAACCAATATTCCTGGAACAAAGGTTCACCTGTGTTTTAATTTTTAGAAAATGGGAATTGCATTTTCCTAGTGAAAGGAGTAACAAGTTTTTTTTAAGGTTCAGCTCACAAAATGACTCCCCCAGAGCCATGCAGTAATTTCCATCACTAATTCTTAAAATTGGTGTAAAATATGACAAAAGAAATATGTGTAGTTTGATTTCATCTGACTTTAGATTTGCACATAGAAACCTATCTTTAAAATGAAAAGTTTGTCAAATTTTTTATTAACTATGGTAAACTTGAAAGTGTATTTTATTTGTCTTTTTATGTCAAATCTGTTTAAAAAGGAAATTTTACATGCATGCCGTTAATGTTTAGTTTGTCACAGAACTGTAATTTACAGTCACAATCTGAAATTTTATGTATTTAAAAAAATACAGCTTCAAGCTGTAAACTAAAACAGAAAATAAAATTTATTTACAGCGTTTCTTTTTCAGTGGCAGGAGTCAAACCCTTCAATGTTAAAACACTCACCGTCAACACACGAAGGCCTGTTTCTTGTGGTTCCGGCCACCTTCCCTGGCAGACAGGAACACTTCACCGTCTGAGATCGCTCCTCGATTCGATTCTTATTACAGCACCTGTGAGCAGCTATTACTTCACAGGTGCCCCCCTCTGATAAGGAGAAAAACAAGCAAACATCAGACTGCATTAAGTCAACATCTGCTTTCTGAACACATCAGCTTCAGTCAAGTTCCTCCTGCAGTTTGAGGAAGTTTAATGTGGCTCTTTGCAAAATTTATATTTAAGGTACTTTATACAGACATGTTGCCCTTTTTTGACAATAAATCTGATTTATTGAACTGAGCAGTACATTTTTTAAGATAAGTTTCTCAATCAGCAAAGCCTTTTTTATGCTTTGCTCTTTTAGTTCATTATAACAAAATTATTTGATCCTTCTTTTGATTTTATTTTCCAGAACCTTGTTCCTTGTCAAGTTTCTTTTTGGTGCTACAGCCACAATCTTTGTTAGATTTGTTATATGATCCTTGACAGAGTGATACGTTCTGTGTTTATAGACAAATATACATATATTTAATAGGTAACTGTCAAGAAACGGAAGGCTTTATAGCAAAAAATCTAAAAATGTCCCAAAATAGTTTTAGGGAACTTTAACTACAAAGCGAGGTGTGTTCATTTAGTTGTTTTTCACTGATGTTTAAATACTCAGTTGAAGGAATCATATTTAAAAGACACACTTTCAGAACAACCAGTACTTTTAGTTTTCTGTGAATTTTCCAGAAGCAAAAACAATCACACATGTTCTCCACCTGGGAAATGTTATTCTAATTTTGTAATTTGACAAATTAAGACAATAAGAAGAAGAAGATTAAAATATTTTTCATGCGCTTAACCTACAATGCCTATTTTCATAAACTGTTCATTTCACACACACACACACACACACACACACACACACACACACACACACACACACACACACA